TTTTTCATATTGATTCTTCTTTAAAATCCTCTTATCCTTATTGTTGGCTCTGTGATCTCATGTGTATTTAAAATGAGCCTATAAATTCTGCAAAGAATAAAAGTTGGTATTTTTTTGGAATTACATTGATACTATAGTGTGGGAAAACTTAACACATCCTTTAGTTTACAAGCTAGATGATACTATATTCTTTACTTCAGTCTTATTTAGTTTCTCTCAATAACATTTTCTGTGAAAAATCTTTTTTAGATTTATTTTTAGGTGATTGACATTTCATGTCACTATGAATTTTAAGACTTAATTTCATGTTCTAATAATTTGCTATTTATATGCAGAAATATAATTGTTTTTATAAATAGATTGTGTGTTCAGAAATCTTTCAAATATGCCGGGTGCAGTGGCACATGCCTGTAAAATCAGTGGCTTGGGAGGCTGAGGCAGGAGGATCACAAGTTCAAAGCCAGCCTCAGCAACAGGGAGCACTAAACAACTCAGTGAGACCCTGTCTCTAAATAAAATACAAAATAGGGCTGTGGATATAGTTCAGTGGTCTAGTGCCCCTGAGTCCAATCCCCAATACCCGCCCCCAAACAAAAAGGGAAAAAATTAAAAAAAATCTTGCAAATACTTGTTTTCTTCATAATTTTTATTGATTCTTTTCAATTTTCAACAAACACAAATATATCACTTATAACAAAATTCTTCTTATCCTTCTGCAGGTTGACTAACCTTTGTCTGAAATGATTGGAACTAGAAAAGTTTCCAATTTTGGACTTTTGCCTTTTTTGTACTTTGGAATATTCAAGATCTCTCTCTCTCTCTCTCTCTCTCTCAGAGACAGATATATCTTGGAGATGGGACCCAAATTTGGACATGAAAATCTTTTATTTTTTTGTATATACCTTATACACATGATCTGAAGGTATTTGTTCATAATATTTTCAATGTACCTACATACTGTGACCAATTTCATAAGGTCAGGTGTGGAATTTTCCACTTGTGGCATTATATCAGCACTCAAAAAGTTTTGGGTTTTGAAGAACTTAAATATTTTACTTCAGATTTGACATGTGCAACCTATACTTTATATTTTTTCTTATCTTGATGAACCACCTAAATAAAACCTCTAGTAAAATGTTGAATAGAAGCATCTACCGTGAAAATCCTGTGAATTTCCTGGTTGCAAAGGCAAAATGGTAAATAGTTCAATATTAACTTTGTGTGAAATTCATAAATATTCTTTATAAGAGTAAAGAAGTCTCCTTTTTTTTTTTT